TTGTTTTAAATTTTGAATTTTTTCAGATTTTTGAATATTTGCATTATACCTACCCTAGTTGAGTATCTCAAATCTGAAAATCTGAAATCCAAAATGCTGCAATGAGCATTCCTTTGATCATCCTGTCAGCACCCAAGAAGTTTAGGATTTTGGAATATTTTGGATTTCAGATTTTCAGATTTGGGATGGTCGACCTGTATTTTATATGAGTATTCCAAACAGCCTTCAAATATGTGGGCTTTTTTTTTCTGGGAAATACTAAAAAGATTATAATAACTATGTTAAAGCTTAACTGACAACAATAAATGTACAAGTGTTGGCACATGTATACACATTGGAAATTATTCACCACAAGTCAGGGCCGATTTACACGTTAGGCACAGTTCATAGGCCCCACTTTTTTTTTTTTTTTTTTTTTTTTGAGAAAGAGCCTCTCTGTCGCCCAGTCTGGATCTCCACTCACTGCAACCTTTGCCTCTCAGGCTCAAGTGAATCTCCTGCCTCAGCCTCCAGAGTAGCTGGGATTACAGGTGCATGCCACCAGGGCCGGCTAATTGCTGTATTTTTAGTAGAGATAGATAGGGTTTTGCCATGTTGGCCAGGCTGGTCCCAAATTCCTGGCCTCAAGCGATCCTCCCACCTCAGCCTCATAAAGTTCTGGGATTAAAGGCATGAACCACCGCGCCTGGCCCAAAAATGTTTTATTGTAAAATCAAAATGCTTTAATGGAGGCTAGGTGCAGTGGCTTCTTTTACTCAGCACACTTGAGATTCATGTTATTGTACATATCAGTAGTTCCGTCTTTTTTTTTGGCTGAGTAACATTCCATTGTATGGATTGATATTTCACCTGTTGATTTGAGAGGGGATTATGAAGCTGAAGGCTGTGAAGTGAAAAAAAAAAAAGACAGGGGAGACCCCCTCACCTCCTTCAATTTCACCTCCTCCCCCGACTTCCAGGTGGGAAGGAGAGTGAGGAAGGAAAAAAAAATGAAATAAAATGCCAAAGAGCTGGGAAAATGACTCCCTCTTTATTTCCCAGCATCTCTGCTGTTAACCTTGAAAGAGCTGCAAATGAATGTTATCCCCAGGCTGGAGCCTGCACTGGTTCATGCCTCCATGTCACCACAGACCAGGCTCCCTCCTGGAAACACCTCTGCCAGCAAACGTCTTGTTGCTTTTGTCTCGTCTCTGTAAGCCCCTCTCCCTTACTGGTCCCCGTTCGCACTGCATATGAATTAGCAAATCAATGAAGCCAAAAGATTGTAAGTTTGGATGTCCAGCAAATGGATGATGACATAGTTCTGCCTCAGTTTCCCCTTTAGCATTGTAAGCCTATAAAAGGGGAGAGAAGTTGCAGCTCAGGGAGCTCGGTGAATGAGGTTGTTGCCCGCCGGAGCTCCCTGCCGAATAAAAAGTCACTTTCTTCCTCAGTTCGGTGTTCCAGAGATTTGTTCTCTGCTGCTCCTGCTACAGATTGACATTTGGGTTGTCTACAGTTTGGGGCTATTACAAATAGAGCTGCTATGAATGTGTGTCTATAAGCATATGCTCTATTTACTCTTGGGTAAATACCTAGGAGTGAAATGGCTGAGTCATATTGTAGTAATTCAACATTAAAAAAAACACCAAACTGTTTTCCAAAGTGAGTGCACCATTTTACATTCCACCAGCAGTGAATAAGTGTTCTGGTTTCTCCACATCCTTGCAACTTGGTATGGTCAGTCTTTTAAATTTTAGACATTCTGATATGTATGTAGTGGTATCTTACTGTGTTTTAAAGTTGCATTTCCCTAATGATTAATGATGTTGGACATCTTTCCATGTGGTTATTTGCAATCCATATATCCTCTTTGATCAAGTGTCTGTTCAAATTGTTTGCCCCTCTTTTAGGAGAGTTGTGAAAATAATCTTTTAATTAAAAATGTGTTGGGGGAAGCAGCAATGGAGAAAGGGTTTACAGTGTGCCTACATAAAGTGGTTATAAGTAATGTATAAAAGAAATCAGGAACAATAAACTGCGGAAGGCCATGGAGGCCTCTGGGGAGGAAGGCCTCTCTACTGCCAGCATGTTCTCAGGAACAGAGTGACTTAAGCTCTGATATTCTAAACAAAGTGCCCAAGGACATAACACTCCCTTGAAGCACTGGAATGTAACCAGACTTGTAGGCTCCTTGCTAAGCCCACTCCCACCAGCTGCACTGTCTATTGATAAGCATACACTTTTAACTCTTAAGAAACTCACATAAGGCCGGGCGCGGTGGCTCAAGCCTGTAATCCCAGCACTTTGGGAGGCCGAGGCGGGTGGATCACGAGGTCAAGAGATCGAGACCATCCTGGTCAACATGGTGAAACCCCGTCTCTACTAAAAATACAAAACATTAGCTGGGCATGGTGGTGCGTGCCTGTAGTCCCGGCTACTCAGGAGGCTGAGACAGGAGAATTGCCTGAACCCAGGAGGCGGAGGTTGCGGTGAGCCGAGATCGCGCCATTGCACTCCAGCCTGGGTGACAAGAGGGAAACTCCGTCTCAAAAAAAAAAAAAAAAAAAAACTCACATAAACCATGCTGCTATCAATTTTGTGTTTGACGCACAGCTTCCCTTCACCGTTTCACCCTACCACCTGCACTATAGATGAAAGTGATTGTGTTCAATAAATACTGTGGAACCCCGAGCGCAGGGCCTTCACTGCCTCCAGTACAAAATGATGGTCCCCTGGTCCCACTTTCATTCTTAATCTGTCTTTTTCTCATTCCTTTGATGCCCCCGAACTCGGGGTACCCATGGGTGGGGTGTGGGGGCTGGTTCCCTACAAAATGTACATTGTTTCCACCAGATCTAGAACCAAAGAGCTTAGAATTCCCTAAGAATCCTAAAATGAGAGGAAAGAGAAAGAATTAACATTTTCGTGACTGGATGGTGACAAGTGGAGAAAATAAGCACAATAAAGGCAGGTTTGGTGGGGGTGATGGAGCAAAGCGACTTGTGATACCAGCTCCCTCACCACGTTGGTTTCGTTCCTCTGGACTAGGGGGTTAATGATACCGGCAATCAGCGCAAAGCGAGATAATCACCAGCACACACCTGGATCTCCATACAGGTTTGTAAACTATGTGGAGGAAACGGACCAGTCGCAGTCGCAGCCGGATGCCAGAGCTAGAGCCTGAGCAGGGTGTGAGAAAAGGAGGCCCTTCAGGACTCGGCCCTGAACCACAACTTTGTCCTCGGGGGTCCGGGTCGGAAGCGACGACTTCATTCACTGAGCAACCATTTCTGGTTTCCAACGTGCCGGGAGTGGCCTTCTGGGTGTCAGAAAAGACACAGAAAACTGACAAGGCGGAACCGCGACACGGTGTCTGCTGCTGTCAAAAGGTCTCACTGCTCCGGAGGGACCCAGTCACCCACAGCCGCCAGGGGCGCCCGCCCGCCCTCTAGCTCGCACCCGTAGTCGAGAGCCGCTCAGCTCTCCTCGGACCTAGAGTTCCGCGATCTCACCGCGGTCTTGGCGGATTGTTATGTAAAATTCGAATGGCTATGGAGAAGGAAAAAGAAAAGCGAAAAGTACCACGCTGTTTCCGCCCGGTTTCGAACCGGGGACCTTTCGCGTGTGAGGCGAACGTGATAACCACTACACTACGGAAACTAGCTGGGAGCTGGCACCTCGCAAACGACTGTTGAAAGGTAGTGGCTCACCACTGTCCCTGACCCACGAGGAAAGTACCCGGGCGAGCCACCCACAGCTCGGGCTCGGGGCGCGTCCGCAAGTAGCCAGCAACGCAAGTCAGACCCGGGCTGCTCACGTGGGGTCGTGACCGAGAGTGCAGGGGTGAACTCCATGGTGCCTCCTCAGGAAACTTCCGGCGCAATCAGGGCTGCAGCCAGAGCCCTGAGACACTGGGACGGGGCTCCAGGCGTCCTCGAATTCTGGTCGTGGAGTTTTCCTGATCCTGTCGGGTCCTTTAGGAGCGCTTGGCGGGGAGCGCGGACGCCCCGGGGCCAGGCCACCGCGGCCACCGAGAGCTGAGCCCAGCCTGGGGACTGGAGAAAAACGGAGTAGAAGAGACCTAGGGGACGGACTTGGCCCTGTCTAGGAAAACCAGCTCATATTTGAAACAAAATACGCCTTAGGTTTGCCCAGCACTGAATTTAGAAGCATTTTCACATTCTCGTCTTTAACTAGATTTACAGCAGTGCCATGAGCAAAGAATTAAACCCGTCTTAAAGATGAAGAGACTGAAACTAGTTAAGTAGGACTTGGGTAGGATGGAAGCGCTGCTTAAAGTCAGGGAAGAGTCTGCCACCCTGCCGTTCTCAGGCTGTATCGCGCTTAGCGGGACTACACCTTATTATTGTCCAAGGAAGCAAACGAAGAGGAAAGAGAGAGTGGAGAGTATTCCTGGAGGGACTCAAGATACCTCTCCAGGTGGAACCCCAAGATACCCGAGTAGAGTGACAGCTGAGGTCGAACGACCTCATCTTTTCCACTGGCTCAGCTGAAATATTTGAGGAGGTAGGAAGAGGAGATGGTTTAGGGATGCCAAATGACAAAGGCTTTAGAAAATTAAGAAGAGAAGGGTCGTGCTCGCTTCGGCAGCACATATACTAAAATTGAAACGATACAGAGAAGACTACCATGGCCCCTGCGCAAGGATGACACGCAAATTCGTGAAGCCTTCCATTTTTATTATAAAAAAAGTTCTTATTAAAAAAATTATAAAAATTAAAAAAAAAAGAGAAGAGTGAGAGAATTACCAAGGCAGCAGAGAAGACTTACATGCTGTTGTATGATACAAATGTCCAGGGGCTAGCTTGGAACGATGTTGGCTGACTGTGTCGGGAGCTCTAATCCGGCAAGAACCTAGAGGAGAAAGTGGGTTGTGGGATGAATAAGCAAAGGTGGAGGGTTAAGGAGTTGGGGTGGTAGTGAGAGAGCACAGGAGAAGCACCTGGTTACAGGTTGAGCCTGTGCAGAATGTAGAAATACGTCAGAGATATCCAACGGCGCTCACTTCGGCAGCACATATACTACCACTGGAATGATACAGAGATTAACATGGCCCCTGTGCAAGGATGAGGCACAAATTCATAAACTGTTCCATTTTTGTTTTAAAGAAACGTCCAATGGACTGAATGCAAGGCAGATAATAGTTTATCGGGTTAAGGCACTTTATCGGAAAGTTGGCTTAAATAGTAAAGGGAAAATATTGCCTCACAATCCTAGGTAGATCTGGGCTTCAGGTAAGTCTTCATACAAGGCTCAAAGAAGTCTCTGGGCCCGGCATGGTGGCTCATGCCTGTAATCCCAGCACTTTGGGAGGCTGAGGCGGGCGGATAACAAGGTCAGGACATTGAGACCATCCTGGCCAACATGGTGAAACCCCATGTCTACTAAAATACAAAAAATTAGCCTGGCATGGTGGCGCACACCTGTAGTCCCAGCTACTCGGGAGACTGAGGCAAGAGAATCGCTTGAACCCGGGAGGTGGAGGTTGTAGCAAGCTGAGGTCTTGCCATTGCACTCCAGCCTGGGTGACAGAGTGAGACTCCGTTTCAAAAACCGAGTAGCTGGGACTACGGGTGTACTTCTTGCAGAACTCATTATCGTATAACAGGGATGAAATATACTGTGTATAACAGGGATGGGACATACTGCTTCGTTTAAATAATTAGTGCCTACTCCTCCTGAGGTCCGGGTTAAGATTAATCCTACTGAAACTCTAATCCTACTCAAATTCAGGGTATCCCTAAGAAGGGAATGGGATGTTGTAATGCTGAAGAGAACCAACAAGCATTCTCTACAGAGGCTAAGACCACAGTGCAGCAGAGAGCGGAGAAGAATGGCATATGCTTCCAGAAATGGGAGTCGATGTTAGGAAAGCCCTTCCACTCTAAGGGCTTCCCTGATAAGGGAGTTCTCCTGTGAGTAGCTTTCACTATGCAAGGTCAGATGAGACCTAGGATAGCCCAGGACACAAGGATCCTCCCGTCATCCCCCAAGGGGCCACTTTCAATGTGAGTAGTCCTTGCCCCTCCCTGCCAGGAGCTGAAGAGGCTGTGTCAGTAGCTTTTCCCCTGATCAGTCTCTGGAAAGGCAAAGCTTTCATGAATCTGGCCTCAGCGGTCAGTGAGACTGTGGGATCGTCCTGAAGAACAGGAGGTCCTGGAGTTCACCCTCATGACATCATATCTGGCTTAGGACAATCACTCTTTATGCCCTGCTCATCACTGTTCCTCACTGTGGCTTCTCCCTAATGCAATACCTTGTGGGGAGCTATTTCCCTGAGAACACAGTGATATTAGCATGTGAATCACCTCTTTCTGGGCAAAGGTGGTGGAATTTTTTACCGTCATGAAGTCAAGGTTCCTTCCCCTTTCTGAGTTGAATAATCCAAATCCTGGCTCTTAGAGCTTCTCATATCCCTAATTCCTTATGAAACAACTCTGTTCCCAACTCTTTATTATCCCATTGCTCAGTATCTTCCACCACATCCTCCTTCTGTAGACTCTGAGGCCAGGTGTTGAGGCTCACGCCTGTAATCACAGCACCCTGGGAGGCTGAGCTGGGTGGATCACATGAGATTAGGAGCTCAAGACCAGCCTGAGCAACATGGTGAAACCTCATCTCTACTAAAAATACAAAAGTTAGCTGAGCATAGTGGCAGGTTCCTGTAATCCCAGCTCTTCGGGAGGCTGAGACATGAGAATTGATTGAACCCAGGAGGCGGAGGTTGCAGTGAGCCAAGATGGTGCCATTGCACTCCGGCCTGGGTAACAAAGCAAGACTCTGTCTCAAAAAAAAAAAAAAAGACTCTGACACCTATAAAACATGATTTTATGGCAGCAGGAGGCAATAGGGCAAAGCATTTCTTCCTGTGTGGTATAGATGGGGTAGTGATGATGGAAAGATAAGGAATGTTATGAAGGAGTATTCACTGGAGGAATATAGTGTCAGGGAAGAAAATTGGATATTAAATTTGTAATCCGGAAAGGCAGTAGAGCGGTTAACTCCAGTTTTAAAACTCGTTTTTTTTTTTTTTTTGTTTGTTTTTTTTGAGATGGAGTTTCGCTCTTATTACCCAGGCTGGAGTGCAATGGTGTGATCTCAGCTCACCGCAACCTCCGCTTCCTGGATTAAGGTAATTCTCCTGCCTCAGCCTCCCAAGTAGCTGGGATTACAGGCACGTGCCACCATGCCCAGCTAATTTTTTCTATTTTTAGTAGAGACGGGGTTTCACCTTGTTGACCAGGATGGTCTCAATCTCTTGACCTCGTGATCCACCCGCCTCAGCCTCCCAAAGTGCTGGGATTACAGGCGTGAGCCACTGCGCCCAGCCTTAAAACTCATTTTTATGGCTTCTAGATTTCACCTTCTTAACCTTGATGCTATATAGTTTCTCAAAGAGGCACAATTGTTTTGATTAGCTACATAGAAAATGAAGCAGAATTAATAAACTAGTAGAACTAACAAAATAGTTCAACAAGATTGTTTGCTACAAAACCAACATTAAAAATAAAAAATTTCCACCACATCAGCGGTAATCACCTAGAAAATATGAGAAAGTAACATATCATTCATGGTAGGACAAAATCATAATATGCCTGAGAACAAGCCACTGAATAAATGCACATAATCTTTGTATGGAGAAATATTAAAAATTACTGAAGAGCAAGATGAGAACTAATTAAGTGAAGAGATTTACCCTATTTATAAATGAGGTGATTTAAGCCGGGCTTGGTGGCTCTCGCCTGTAATTCCAGCACTTTGGGAGGCTGAGGTGGGCAGATCACCTGAGGTCAGGAGTTCGAGATCAGCCTGACCAATATGGTGAAACCCCATCTTTAAAAAATAAATAAATAAAAATAAAATAAATGAGGTGGTTTAGTATTATAAAGATGTCAATTTCCTCCACGTTCTTCTGCAAAACCCATGCAATATCAACATATCAACAGAATGCCTTATATAACTTGAAAACTGATTGTAAAATTTACATGAACACATAAGTCTGTGGGTGAGAGACCCTGCAAGTACCGAGGCAAGGCTCTGAAGCCTCAGCCTGTTCCCGTATAAATAATGAAATAAAAAAGAATTAGAAATATAATCACATAAGTAATCATAGATATAGATACCTAAATATATATACTCGGTATAACCTTTTAATTTTGCTAATATTTCTCGGGTTTCAAAGTGTGAACTTAAGGTGACATTGTGAAAGAAGTGACCCTAAGGCAAGATGCTCTAAGCCCTCTGTCACACCCGCATAAGGGCTGCTGGAGGGCACCTTGGCTATGCGGCAGCGCTGGGAAAGTGCCTGCTCTTTAGCAAGCTGTGGAAAGAGACGTTGGAATTAGGAGAACATTCCGCTCTCTCAAGCTCTTGTGGTAGGCCTGACAGCTGTCAGGGAGGCCCGCAGACATCCAGGGACGTAATTGTCTCTATGTGATGCTGTGCTTCGGTGGTCATGTTCCATGTCCACCTTCATGTTCTGCTTCTGCACCTGGTTCCTTTTTTTCTTAGAAGATATAATCAGTAATAGTAACATAAATCTCAATGTCTTTGTTCTTTCTTGACAAGTATGAAAAAAGTGCTGACACAATATGCTCCTGCCCTCGCCTTGGCTACTTGAAAGTCTCTGAGACATGTGATTTACCTGACCCTATCACTGACCACTGTAGGGCTATTGGCCCCACAGGGTCGTGGGATGTCCCTTATGCTGTGCTGAGGTGCAGGATCTGAGAAGTAAAGAGACTGGACACTGAAGAACTGGAGAAGAGCAGCTGGACTTGGGAGGCCACGCCACCTATGAGCAGAGACTGACGAGGCCCCGAATGTCCAGAAGAGTCTGTATTTATTGGGTACAAGGCAGGGGGGCAGGGTCATGTGTGAGGTCATCTATAGGCTTAATGATAGGGCATACATAATCACGTGAGTAGCAGGCGAGGGGAGCCACCCCATTAGGTCACCTGGGCAAAGAGGTGGGCCATGCGCAGTAGGGGGCTGTGCCGTGTGCAGTAGTAGAGGGTCATGTACAGAAAAGGGGTCCACCCCCATTAGGTCACCGAGGTAAGCAGGTGTGCTGTGTGCAACAGGTGTCGTGCACAACACTTCTTATCTGGGGGCTGCAGACTTCAAAGGATTTCTAATAGAAGGATACTGTAGCCAATGCAGTGGGAGCTGACAGACTTGTGCTCTTCTCTAAGATATTTATGGGAGGATGATTTGAGTTAAAACAGAAGTGAGACAAGACAGACAGGGTGTACAGCCACAGTGACTGGTCACACTAGAGGGGTTCTTCTCCCTCAGTTATTTCCAGGATCTCAGGCCTGAGGCCTACTTTCCACAGGAACTGGACGCAAGGTATTACAACTCCTTTTTCAGGAGGAGAGGCTCTTGCTCCAAGCCTGCCATACAGCGTATGCCCTTTCAGGCAGGGACGCCACTGCCTGGGTCTCTGGTTCTTGTCTTGGTCTGGCTGTTTTCCTATGTACTGTTTCTGTTCTGTGACTGTTCTAGGAATTCCTCCTACTACAAACTACTATATGGTTATGTAGAAGGATTATATAAATCAGCACTAAATGTGTCAGCACAGCTCCGACTACATCCATTATACGATTATATAGAAAGATTATATGGGACTAAGTATGATTATATGTAAGCTGGATATAAATAAGCAGTGAGTTATACTTCAGGCACTAATTGTGCCGGGGGTCTGTACAGTTCTTCTTCCTCGGTGCCCATGTGGGGTGTTACCCACAGACCACCAATGATCTGCCCTACCAACCCTATCCCCTGCTTTGTACACAATAAAAGTCAGAGTGACCAGGCACTCGGGGCCACTGCTGGACTCCGAGATTTGGTTGGCAGTGGACCCCTGGGTCCAAACTCTCTTTCTCTTGATCTCGGTGTCTTCTGTCTTTATTTCTACAGTTTCTTGTCTCTACACCAGTAGAGAGGGGCTTATAGGACCCTGTAGGGCTGGACCCTACATAAGTCCATGGATAATCAAGGGAATTTTGACAAAAGAGAATAAGGAAACTCATAGTAACTGATAACTGGGGGAGGGGGAGCGTCTGCTGGAGCCCACGGCGCCAGCTCCTGATACCTCCCATGGAGGAGTCCAGTGAGCTGTCACTGGATACTTAGTCCGAGGTCACCAACACGCTTGTAGATTTTCTTTTCTTTCTTTCTGTCTCTTTTTTTTTTGAGACAGAGTTTCACTCTGGTGCCCAGACTGGAGTGCAGTGGCACAATCTCGGCTCACTGCAACCTCCACCTCCCAGACTCAAGAGATTCTCCTGCCTCAGCCTCCCGAGTAGCTGAGATTACAGGCACCTGCCATCATTCATGGCTAATTTTTGTATTTTTAGTAGAGACAGGGTTTCACCATGTTGGCTAGGATGAAAGAATGATTCACTCTGGAGAGAAGAAACTGGTTTAAACTGCAGATTTTTGAGTGTTTCTCAGCACTCAATCTAAATCCGTAAATGTCTAAATCTCTGGTTATCTAATTTTTAACAACTTTCTTGGTGATTCTTAAGCACATTAAAATCTGAGAACAGGCCAGGCATGGTGGCTCACATCTGTAATCTCAGCACTTTGGGAGGCTGAGGTGGGCGAATCATGAGGTCAGGAGTTCAAGACCAGACTGGCCAACATGGTGAAACCCCATCTCTACTAAAAAAAACCAAAAAACAAAAATTAGCTGGGCATGGTGGCTCGTGCCTGTAATCCCAGCTACGTGGGAGGCTGAGGTAGAAGAATTGCTCGAACTGGGATGTGGGAGGTGAAGTTTGCAGTGAGCCGAGATTGCACCATTGCACTCCAGCCCGAGCACGGAGCAAGACTCCACCTCAAAAAAAAAAAAAAAAAAAAAAAAAAAATTGAGAACAGGTGCTCTATGTCCAATATCATTTAAACCTGGAAAATATGCACTCACCAACCCTTCAATCAATGTGATTGAAGGGGTTACATTTAAGTTGTGATTACCTGAGTTTGCCTGATCATAAAGGTCACTAGAGGGCTTGAAAAAAAATACACACTCTTGGCTGGGCTTGGTGGCTCATGCCTGTAATCCCAGCACTTTGGGAGGCTGAGGCAGGTGGATCACTAGGTCAGGAGATCGAGACCATCCTGGCCAACATGGTGAAACCCTGTCTCTATTAAAATACAAAAAAAAAAAAATTAGCTGGGTGTTGTGGCACACGCCTGTAGTCCCAGCCACTCAGGAGGCTAAGGTAGGAGAATTGCTTGAACCCAGGTGGCAGAGATTGCAGTAAGCCAAGATCGCACCACTGCACTATGGCCTGGTGACAGAGCAAGTCTTCGTCTCAAAAAGAGAAGAAAAAAGCACATTCTTAGGTCTCTCTGCTGGTGGGAATCATATATGAAACAAAGCCCAAGAATCTACATTTATTTATTTTTTATTTTTTATGTTTTTTCTGCTTTTTTTGAGATGGAGTCTCACTCTGTTGCTCAGGCTGGAGTGCAGTGGTTTGATCTCGGCTCACTGTAACTTCCGCTTCTTGGGTTCAAGCAATTCTCTGGCCTCAGCCTCCTGAGTAGCTGGGATTACAGAGTGCCTGTCACCATGCCCGGCTAATTTTTGTACTTTTAGTAGAGACGGGTTTCACCATGTTGAACTCCTGACCTCAGGTGATCCACCCACCTCAGCCTCCCAAAGTTCTGGTATTAGAGGTGTGAGCCACTGCACCCGGCCAAGAATCTACATTTAAATGTAGTTGTTAAATGTTCTTCTAAGTAACTACACACATTTATCTATTTTGTGGAATTACTGGAATATAGATCAGTTAAATTTTGGATAGCTTTAATGATAATGATGATAATTTTAGGTTTTGAATGGCAGTTTATTTTAAGCCATGGCTTCTGGAAGAATTTAATCTGATCCAGTGTTGGATTTTTCTTTCACTCATAGAGACAATAATAAATATAATAGCTATAGCATTTATTGAGCACTTACTATGTGCCCACCAATTGATCCTCATCGAACCCTCTGAGGCATGGACCACTGTACTACTGCCATCCCCATTTTATGGAGAAGATACTGAGGCAAAGGGGTTAAGTACCTTGCTAAGCATGGGCAGCTATCAATGCGGTAAAGCTGGGGTTCTGAACCATTCTTGTAACCAATGCGACACTGTGTCTGTGGACTCCAGACCAATTTCTCTGATGCTCAAAATTTGCCTGCATTAAATGCACTTTTGTGAAATATATTTCTTCTATTTCTTTTTTGAGATGGAGTCTTGCTCTGTCTCCCAGGCTGGAGTGCAGTGGTGCAATCTCAGCTCACTGCGACCTCTGCCTCCTAGGTTCAAGCAATTCTTCTGCCTCAGTCTCCCGAGTAGCTGCGATTGCAGATGGCCGTCACAACTCCTGGCTAATTTTTGTATTTTTAGTAGAGACAGGGTTTTACCATGTTGGCCAAGCTGGTATTGAACTCCTGACCTCAGGTGATCTGCCCACCTTGGCCTCCCAAAATGCTCGGATTATAGGCATGAGCCACCACACCTGGCCAAAATATATTTCTTATATAGAAGAGAGAGTTTTCATGTGCTGTGTTCTACTCATGGCTAAAAGTTTCCTAAAATGGATTTTGTTCTTTTTTCTTCTTCTTCCTCTTCTCTAGAGCAACTAGAAAGAAAGAGCATTATTCTTAACCCAAAGAGGCATCTTTTAAACATTTCTGTATCAGCAAAACTAATTATATTGGAAAATATCACCAACTAAATAAATAAAACAAGGTAAAGCTTTTTGCTAATTATTTTTGAATAATTTATTCCTGGGCTCCCTGTGACTCATTGAGGAATTGCAAGATACTGGAAAATCTCCAATTACAGACTTTTAGAATAAACAGAAGTATAAACATTCATAGGAGTTAGATTTGAAGACAACTGCTTTTAACATATAGACCCATCAGGAAGTTAGCATCTTGGTGGGAGTTATCTATTATACATTTTAGTCTGAACAGAGAACATGCACACTGATGATCTCAAAAGTGTTCTTATTCTCATATAGTGAAGGGAATGTACGCAAGGCCACGTGAATGTGCTATGCAGGGAGATCCAGGCACAGCTGGTGTTTGGCTTTGCTATTGGCTGCAATGTGGACTGCGGGCAAATGAACTCACCACTTTGTGAAAGGCCCTTGGAGAGGAAATTGAAGACTCAATCTCCTGTGTGACTGCTGCAAGTCCTGGGATCTAAAAAGATCTATGAGGATCCTAGGACTTGCAGTAGTCACACAGGAGATTGAGTCTTCAAGGGAACAGAGTGCTGGAAAACACAGAGACACTTAGGTTAGCTAAAGAAGATGAAACATGAGGCTGGGCATAGTGCTTCATACCTGTAACCTCACCACTTTGGGAGGCCAAGGCAGAAGAATAATTTGGGCCCAGGAGGTTGAGGCTGGCCTGAGCGACATAGTGAGACCCCCATCTCTACAAAAAATAAAAAGAAACCATTTGGGCCAGACACGGTGGCTCATGCCTGTAGCCCCAGCACTTTGGGAGGCTGA